ATATATTATAGAGCCGTTTTGAAAAAGCAATTTGTTGCCACATGGCTTGCTCAAGCAATTTGCTCAAGACATTAACTATTGAAAAGTTATTGCCGATTAAAAACAAAATACCTCGAAACAGACCGTTGAAACTTCGTTTGTTTTCGTTCAATTAGCCTTTCTTTCTGATACTGTATTGAAGCAAGTATTTCAACGAAGTGTTTTGCGTGAGCTAAAAGTGTCAGTGATGACCAGTAACGGATTCTTAGTAGAGCTTCAATTTATAATCTAAACCGCTAACAATTTTATTTCATAGCATTTTTCCTTCTATTTGTGGTATGACAGGTTAGCATGTGGATGTCTATCAGAGCTAGTTGTAGCCGGTATATTCTACTCAAGCTTTAACTAAATTCTAACTCAACGATAGTAAAAATATAATCAAATCAGTACTTCCGAATTGTTTTATTCGCCATCTTGCATATCTTTCCCTGTCCGTGATGTCGATCTCGTTCTTTCAGTCCCACTCTTCAAACGCAAATTCTATAGCTTTTTTTCTAATTTGAATACGCATGCCGCTCATATTTATACGTTTAACTTAAAGTTAGCAACCGCCTGTTGTCGCAAGCGACAATATTGAAAAAAAAACAGAGAGGTCATAGACGCATATTAATGATAACACACCCATAACGCGACGGACTGACTATACGACCAATTAGCGTTTGTTCCCTCAGTAAAAGATAAGTAATGGATATGCGTTTTTGGGCACAGTCACAACTCACATTGATCAAACCCTGTAGCGTGCTAATATTTTAGCTACATATTTCTACATATGACAGTATCATAATAGAATTACGCTCTGGGCTTACTCTTTGAGACAGGACACAAATTTCCATGCGTCTTCAAATTCGATAGTGTTTTTGAGACAATATTGCTTCCTAATTTTCGAATAGTTGTTTAGCTTTTTTTTTTTTTTTTTCTATGCACATATAATGAGTATCTTATATCTGTCGTCTTACTTCAATCAGAAAAACAGTTGTAAGTCGTGATTGTAGTAGAACGCATAGGCTAGACAGTCAAACACGTTCCGTTTTTGAACCCGACATACGATTAGACCTATAGTGTGAGCCAATATAATGATCCTTTCAGGATTTTTGAGTTTATTTTTAGCTCTTAGTAGAAATACTACTATATGTCGGTGGGAGACGACCCGCTCTATTTAACGCATGGAATTGCTGCTGAATGGCCCCTGCATTTACAACCCTCTGCTATCCCATACCCCCATGTGGGTCGTCGCTTTAGCGATCCGAATGTTGCTTTTTATCGGTACACCGCTGATTTGTCACATGTTACGATGTCATGATAAGCTCCGAGACATCTTGCACTTGAGGTCAGCATTTTTTAGCGCCATTTAATGGACTGTATTTGTTTTTCCGAGAGCAGGTGCGAGACGTTGTCGGCTTTTACACTCGTCAACATGACTGGGTTAATGATCTGCGAATTGATATACTTTTATTATTTCATGCATTACTTCTAGAATCTGTCTCATTCTAACGTTTACAAAACGGATCACTCGTTTGGTGAAAACATGCCTAGGACTGCCGTTCTCTGCTCCGTTGCTAGGACTATTATCTGAGCAGTGATCCTGAAAAAGCTAATGCGCCAAGAATTATTTGAAAAACGATCCAAAAAGTATTTGTTTCTAAAGTTTCTTTTCTAACTGTGCTTGTGTACAATGATTGCTTTTAAATAGTTGGAACGTTTAGGCTTCAAGGAAACGTTGTTTCCTACTTCGATTCCTACTACGAACGATTTCCCTACTTGATGATCCTTATGTACGAAAACATTTTTCAAATGCAAAAAAACAACAACGAATCTTAACACCGAGTTTGTTCAAGAACATTGTCTCGAAGAGGCAAAGGACAAGGTATTCCCATACATGGCAGATGGTCGTTTGAGTGAGATTTACCCTCAACTTGACCTCATCAATATATATTATATATATACTTTCCTGTTCGCAAGGTATATAGTGTTCTATGTCTAACTTCAACCCAATTTAGATTTCGAGTCTCACGTTAGTATGTATTCAGGGAGATGGTTGATTCTAGTTGTGATTTAAGTTACAGCTAAACGTCGACAGTGGACGTAGTTCGTCGTACGTATTATTGACCTCGCATTACTTCTAATCGACCACAGATGATTTTTCACACCGATTTCAAGTAATCTGAAGTTGTGGATTGTCCTGTAATAGTCGGAACGGTTTTGTAACATAACTACATATTTGCTTGTTTAAATATGATGTGATCATTATCAACAAACTATTCCTTCAGTTATCATTGAGTTGATATTTGTATGTGGTGAAGCGACGTTCAGACTGGCTTTGAACTTCGGCTGTTGTGACAAAAATCACATTTGACAACAAGCACAATGGTGGGAATAATGTCTGCAAAACGTTTATGTCTATATTACAGATAGGTTCTGATATGGCTAGTCCATCCAATCTATTGTTAGCGACATCTGAAAATGTATTGGTCTCGTCAACCGCCAATTTACGACTTCGCAGTTAAAAACGTAGCAACGCACCATAGCAATTCATTCTGGGCTATATATATATATGAACGTCGAAATTCCTATCAATGTAATGTACATTTTGCATCCGAAAATATGTAAGTATGTGGACATTTTCAATAGGACACACTTTATAGCCTACGGGAAGACACCCGAACAATATAGATATTCTGAGCAAAAGCGACCAAACATTGTGGAAAAAAAATACATTAAAGAGGCTAGCTGGGTCAGGCTCCAAGGTCAAATGGCGATTCTCATTAATCATAGAGGTCCATTTGCTACACCAGTCTCTTTCAACCTTTGACCAATTGGCTGACGGCGACATGTTCTTTCTAGTGAATATAGCGAACTTCGGTGTTCTAGCCCCTACCTAATTTAATGTTGTTTCCAGATCTTACTCGACCTAGGTAGATTTAGAAGCAAGGTTGAATCCGTTTTGCAAGCGAGCGCCTCAGAAGTGTATCTCTCATAAAGTTCAAATAGCACATTAGAAAAAAAGAATTCGTTTTTTGGCTTAGAGAACAGATTCGACTAAGCATCCTGTAGCGTACTCTAGCTCATCGCATCACTATCTATTTCCGACTAGTGCAGTTCTAGCAGCAAAACGTCAACGAAACTATATATCTATTTCGAATAAGGTGCCTGCTATAAAGTCATACAATTGAATGATATACTAGCTTGAAAAAAAAATTACCACCATAAACCACCAGTAAGTCATTTTTTTCTGGTCTTCAGGGGTGGCTTTTAAAATTTACTGCCCGGTAAAAAGGGTTTACCCAGGTACATGATCACCGTTCATATGAAATTCTTAAACAGCCTAATACTCAGAAACTAACTGGGTCCAAGTCCACCACCATCACTGTACATGACGATGTTTACATTCCACCATTATTATTAGTTATTTTGTAACGCATATATTTTATTTGATGTTCATGTCCTTTATATAATAAAGTATACGTTTTAGAGTATTCTATAGGTCTTTGTTAACGATGGCATCAATCATTACAGTGGTTCATTTTGACAAAACGAAACACGTTTGTTCTCGGCGGTGTCGTTGGAAGTAGATAACCCGGCTGTGAAGAGCTTCCTGAAATGGCGTCTTCGAGTAAACAGTACGGAAAAATCTTATCTGTAGTAATATTGATATAATACTTTCATTGCTTTAACTTAATTCTGATGTAACCTACCTAAATGGAATGTTCTTCTTGCAACGGGAATTAGAAGCGAAATGTGAAATAATTAATTACACAAAACGTTGACTTTTAAAATTCAGGAGAGCTAATCGTGGAAGCAGACGATAAGGCGCGTATTTTAAAATCTAAATAAATATAGCTTTCCAAACATAGTGGAAATACATTGTAGCCACACAAGATAATATAACGCTTATTTATTGCGGTGAAGTATTAGATGTAGTGCGGAAATATCATCCAAGTAGTTACACCGTTCACCTTTCATTCATAACTGTATAACGCGTCAGAATAGCTGCTGTATAATAATAGGCTTAATAAATAAAGGTAAACAAATAAACTGATTCTGTGTATATTGGATCCCTCCACGTTTTTTTTTCAGGACAAAAAGTTTTCGTCTGCTCTGAGAAGAGGGGAACAAGAAAATAGCAAAGTCCACAGGGTCTGCTTTGCAGATCAGTTTTCGATTAAAAGGCTTTTGAAAGCTTTCTTTGGACAATGATTTTTTTTCGTTGCTTTTCTTTTAGTTCTTAAACTATACAAACTATTGGACACATTTTCAAAGCAAATTTTACTTGATTACTCAAGTGTAAAACGATGGTTTCGTCAGGGATAGATGACTGGGTAGAACTCTTTGCCATGTTAGCTGCACCGTAATTGAAGGACACTGGTCGGGTACATTTTGATCCGCTAAATCTTCATCAAAACACCGTAAGTACTGTTTAAGTTATGGCTCGTACTTTACTTATGACAGACCTAGGTTCAGCTATAAACAGCGTACGTACAGAGAGATCTAAAGCTTATATGTACATACATTTTGTTAGGCAAATTCAGCGAGCGAAATACTGCAAAACCAAAGATTATAAAATTATTTGCGCTTGACGATGGTCCGTTTTGCGATAAACCTGATACGGTGACCTGATATTTAACAGTATTTCACTCACCGAATCCAAGCAAGTTAGCTTGTAATGCAGCATCCCTTTAAGTATCATAGTTTATTCTGGATAGCTTCTAGTAATCCTATGGCTAAAATAAATATTTATATACATAAATACTTAAGTCATAGGATTTGTCTCGGTAATGAAAAATATTCGGTTATATATCAGTTTGCAATATAAATATGAATGCCCATTAGAATTACGTCGTCATCTTATTATAGCTATTATAAATACAAAGTAACAAAAATGAATAAGAGAAAGGCGGTTAGATATTGTTTTCCCAATATATTTATATGATACACTGTTTTACTTAGCAAACATTATTCCTTAATATTTACAAACTTGATAAAAGGAGCTTTAAATGGTGTAAGTAGTTGCGGCAATTTTTAATTGCTGGTTGTTTCAAAAGCAATCCATTTGATTATATCGTCACAGATCTAAGTCCAAGATTGCGCTTCTTTTTCTGTACCATTGAATTATGCGTGCATGTAAATAATATGAACGCAGTTGAACAATGGCAGGGAAACACCCTTCTAGCCCGTTGGCCGTACTATTTTTTGGAGCCCCGCCGGCTTTTCTTGTAAAGATAATCGTTCTATTGAAACTTTTAGCCACAGAACATTTTACCTGCTCGTTCATGGGGAACTTGCAGCAAAAAGCCAGTCCTGTTGTGTCCTATGTACAGTCGGCTGTGAATGACGCCACTAACTTCTGCGGCCAATTGACAGGTAACGTAACCAGCAAAAGGGCACAATCGGCACAACGGCATTTTGAAGCTTTTTTAACCTGCACAATGTGGCGAGAAAGGATGTGTTTCAGTTGCCTAAGCCCCTCCTTCACGGTGTAAGGCTTATACTAAAATTATTTAATAAGCCATGAGTAAATCTGTGCTTTCTTTAATATTAACAGGAATATAGTAATCATATAATAGGATATAATGTCAAACTCGGACCGCAGCGTTCCTTAATATGTGGCCGACAGATCACATCGAAATTATGGCCCAGAAACTGTGTGAAGCTCCGTATTCTACAGGACGAAGGCAAACTTCGGACAGTGACGCGCAATTTGAATCGTGTCGGACTACAAAGTCTTCTAAATCAGTCTCAAAGTCTTGATTGTTAAGTCAGCTTGGCCCAACGCCCGGATGTCATCCAATCAGCGCCGATGTGGCTTGTGTCATGTGAATTTTCTCGTGCTTTAACGGCTGTTCTTTAATGGATTCTTTCTCCTCATTTCCTTGAAGGTTCAGGATAGCGAAGGGAGACACATGAACTCTCACTTTCAAGCAACTAGGTTTACGAGTAACAGCTGAAAATGAGGGTAAAATGAGGAGGTCTTCGAGAGTTCGCGATCTGTCGTGAAAGACATGGTAGACTATATTGTACATTCAGGTCAAATCGCAATGTCTGTATGATACAGACGGTTGCAAATCACTGTAGAGCAACATACAAATAATCAATAAAGTTAGTTGATGTGGGTAGTTCATCAACATACTATTTTAGCAACTCCGTCAGCATCTGGATAGAGGTAGCGTTTTAGAAAAACGTCATTAGTCAGGTCGAACTCCATCGGTGCTATTATATATACAATCTTATTCTGTCTCCTCCGGTCTAACCGGCCAGCAATGAGCAATTGCTTATGACGGAATCACGCGTCTCAGTAGACTATAATTTATTTCAAAAAGCAACCAAAAACGGTCTGCTCCTATATTGAGTTGAACTGGCACAATTAATCTTAAGTTAAAAAATATATTTATTGGAAACTGATTGTGTTATTTAACATAATTCCAGTATACTCAATAAGGTATATTGTGACAATGTGTTGCAATCTGAAAATTTGTCGGTTCGACAATGTCATCTGATAACACTGATTCGTATACCCTCGTTATCTAGCGATTAGGACACAGAAAGCTAGGCAATTGTTGAAGGTGGCCGTTCACAGGCCGGGTAAAAGAATTACCTCCATGCGCCATAGTAGCAGAACAGATCTTGCGCATTCAAGATAAATATGTAACTAACATTAAACGTACAAACAACTGCTACATTTTCTTGTGAATTTTCGTTAATTCCTTAAACGTAAATCCCTACAGCAGTAAATGCCCAAACCTCCTAATAAAACAGTACTTATTTCTATAGTGTATAGTAACAATTCACTGTTCCTATCGCAAAAATACTAACTTACTTAGCGGTTTGTTAGCGGCCCGCTAGAATCGGAACATTTAGTGTGTCCTGGATTTTCCTGCTATGCTCTTCATGTGTACCTCGACGAGTCTTCTCCGATCGATTACAGACAAAGCGATGGCTAGTTGTCCTCCGTAATAGGTAACCATCGTAATTAGCTGACCATGTTTGCAAGGCTCCTTAAAGTAAAATGCGTTTAGCGATAAATTGAAGTCGGAAATTACAAACAGCAAAGCACCCAGGGCACTTACGACATGGCACCAATCGTAGTCAGGATGAAGGCGGGCTAGCGATCGCCAAAACATCAATGAAATTATTACGATGTAGACTGGAACTGCCTTGAAGAGAAATCCTATTAAAAAAGAACAGAAAGAGAATCAATGAAAAAAGTCTTCTAAATCTGATCCAAGTAAATGGTACACGTGAAACAGCGAATACTTCACCAGTTTCCATAAGTAAAAAATGATAATTTAGTACTCATAAAAAAGAGATACATACGTGACTCATTTAGCAGTACATATCGGATGTGCTAAACTATATTAGGCGTTACTACAGGGCCAATAAATCTCCATTAAATCTCAGTGAGACAAACAAAACTAGATGTAAACAGGTTTTATAAATCACAAAACGAGATTTTAACAATCTACGAAAACGGTCAACTTGATAAGAATATGTACCGTCAAGCATTGGAAGGATTGTATGTAAGGCGCCGGCTGCCATAGCGAAAGTAACGATAAATGGAATTGGCGCCAATCCACGAAAGCCGAATGCGATAATATAGAAGAGATGTGCGAGAGCGAAGGCCACCATGCCTTTGATAAAGTTTACTTCGTCATGCCAGACAAGGTAGAAGTCACCAACGACGGATACTAGCAAGCCCACTACGATTAGGGACTTGGGTGTTTACAAACGCAGAACGGAAGCAAACAATTACCATTCTTTTTTTTGGGAATTCGACAAATTGCAGGTTTTTATATAAGATTTACCGAAACTATCTGAAAGAGTCACTTATAGAACAAAGGATTCCTTTTTTTCGCTGCAGCAATTTCAACTGTAAGCTGCTTTTTCATATCCATAAATCAACTCACGCCCTGTTTTAGATCTACTTTCTGTCTGTATACAGCTATAAATAGCTCAATAATGAGTATTAGAAATTTTCAATTATAGGTCTATTGGTTCACAACTGTGAGCTCACTATGGGCGAAACTGAGAGCAACACTGTTTGGGAGAAAGATAATCGCTAGAATAACACGCAACCTCGTAAGAACCAAGGAACATAAATGTTAACCCAAAAAATATAGGCCGCCGAGATATACAAAGCCGCGGTGGTGAATTCTAGGTCGCTACCAACCATTGTTACTGTTTTCCATCAATACTGCTACTTTCAAATGTGCGCGCGTAAATTATACTGGCCTCCATCAGCCACCTGGTGAATGTGCTATGGACTAACTAAAAATAGACCGGTGTTAATCATTTGAATCTACGGTAAAAATCTGTTTTTTTTTTTTTATGTATTCAAGAGAACTTAAGTGAAGAAAGCAAATTTTTCAGCTTTCAGCAGCACGGGGCACGTGCAAAATATCACCGTTATACAAAGCAAATCTTAATAAAAACTTTTCAAAATGGGTTGGACGAAGAAGTTTCATAGAATACCCTGTCCATTCATCACATCTAACGTCGATGGATTTTTTTCTTGTGAAAGCGTCTAAAAAACAAAGTCTAAGCGAGAAAACCTATGAACTAGAATGTTTGAAAGACGCAATTGAGTTAATGGACTTTTTTTTGTAGTTTAAATATTACTATACACGTGGGGTATAACTATTTTATACACTTTCAAGAACACCCTGTACATACAGGTCCGTATCTTGCTATCGGTCAATTACAAATTCGAAAAGTTCATAATATTTAGACACGACGGCAGCAACGAAGGCTAATACATGCGACAAGCATAACGTTTGAGCTTTAATAACAAGGGCCAAAAAACGCAATGGCGAGACACAAGAATGTGACGAAAAGCCAGCACAATGATTCTTTACCTAATAATATGTGAACTTTTAGTTCTGTCAGTGATGTTTCTGCCACACGTTCTCTCAATGAGTTAAGCCCCATTATATAATTAGCTAGCTAGTATAACTTAGACAATAATTTTAATATTTGCGGTTTGTCCAAGGAGATTGACGTACATGCCATTATTCGAAACGCTTCACTTTTACTAGGATTGATGTTTTGTAATCTCTGCCCCCTGGAATTTTTTTATACGATTGTCGCATCAAATACTTACATTATACGAAATATATAGATTTGCGATCCGTAAACCTATTTAAAACGACGCACAGTTCAAAGGCATTATTAAAACGTGGTATCACAGTTAAAAGGGTTCGCATTTAAACGAGCAGTACCACGTGAGAAAGTTGTCGACTGGGTTAAAGAAGTGATCTTGGCCTAAGATGTCAAACCACGTTTATTTTCTGGTCTGTTCAGCCTTGTTCAGCTTGTCAAGGCCTGGTTCCGCTGGCAAGTTCTCTTCAAACGTACAGAAAATACAGTTAGAACAATACGCCGTCAATAAAATATTGGCTGAAGTTTCGGCAAGAGTACTTGATGACGAAGCCGAGGAACTTGGGAGCAATGAAGGCATATGCGCACACGTATACAGAGAAACTCAACAGGTGCGAAGACGAACTGCAAACATTTGGATTAAGCTCTAGATGTATGTCTGAAAAATGGAGCTTTTGGTAAGCTATGATCAATCGGGTGATTTTGGGAACAAAATGCGCTCTGCTGCAGTTCTGGATAATCTAGCGCAAATTCAACGACAATTCAAAAAGATGGAGCTCTTTTTTCTGCTAGTTTCCGCCACTAGGTAAAATGGACACTGAAGAGATTTGATGCTGTTCGAAGCTTTTCGAAAATCCTTCAGGGGACATAAGTGGGAGATTGCTCCCTTTAAAGTTAGACTAAAGAGATGCTAACCATTCCCGCTCATTTGGTTGAAAAAACTGTTCTCGAGATTCCGTGCGAGAGGACTTTGATCATACGTTTAGAGTATGACATTCAAAAAATGGCGGCAAAGCCCGTTCAAATGCCTGTGTGTTGTTTCTAAAACCAACTAGGATTGACGACACGAAGCGCTCTGCAATGAAAATCATTAGGACTTCATCATTAGAAAGAAGTCAGTCCGCCGAAATATGTAAGCTAAGAACACTATAATGGCAAGCGCAGTCACCATACACTTGGTAGGAATAGAGTGTGGGCTCAAATCTTACCTGGTTTGTTGCCGCTATACTTTACTCACAATCGGTGAATTAGGGTTCATCAAATTAAAGTGAATCATATCTTCATTAAACGTCCAAACAGACATAAATAATAAACTTTTCCGGTTGTACATTGGCTTAGGATAATGTCCCGTCGACTAACTTACAATCGCTCATAACTTGTCGCGAAGAGTCGATTTTTTATTACAAGTCATCATTCGGTGCTGAAATGGGTCATTATCGTAACGGCGGAACAGGACGGAAGCGTTTCTATATCTCTGTTATTGATTCGACTGATCCGAACTCAAATAGTGCAGTACCCATTTGCTAATGTTTACGTTTTTGATTTCATTGAGGTGAAGTACTTGGAAACACCCTTGAACTTTGAGGTGGCTCAACGTCCAATACAGTTTTTAACTTTTTACTTTTTTGCAAAAGTTCTTCTACGAGACCCATTTTCCTTCCTGCAATTTTTTGAACTAGTTTCTCGCAGTGTTTCAATTACCGTATCGACTATCGAGCTCTTTTCGCCATTAAACTTCCAAAGTGAAACTTGTTTTCACGCATAACTCCAGTTCTTTGATCTTCTATGACTGACTATAGCTCGTCTGTTAAAAGCGTGAACGATGGAATTGAAATAAACGGCTTCGAATTTGATGAAGCACAGGTGCGCCTTGAATACAAACGGGTCATCAGATTATCATAGGGTAGCGTTATCTTGAAATATGAGGTTACGTTAATTACGTTTCAAATAAGCACTGCATAACGGAAACCTAGAAAGAATGTTTCAAACAAATTCGAATTGGAAAAAGGCCGGGAAATTAGAAAATGATATTAAATACAATTATATATACATATAAAATTATTGAATGGCTAGATGCTCTTTGGTCAGGAACAAGATCGCAGAATATCATTACTGAAAACGTACTTTGTGCTAGAATCGCGCAATGGCTAACTCCAAACAGATTGCCACCTATCGTGTATGCATTGACCACGAATAAAACACACGTCCCCCCTGCAGATGGCATGTTCCGCTACTTTTTGGTCGTAAATGTGTCACAATGATATGATGTAGAAATAAGCGATGAAATAAACTTGTTATTTTGGAAATCTATGAAACGGTGGATGTGTTTATTTTAGAATAGAGAAAAACGATCCAACGATGGCAGACATTTATTATAGATGTAGCATATGTATCCGTAGCATGTAGAGTGTGCGATACATGAACAGAGAACACAGCGTTATTTTGGCTTTGCTTGTTCGCGTCAAGGGAAATCTCTTGATTGTTATCCGTAATAATCACTACCCTGCACATTTTTTATTTGGAAAAATGGCATCTATTACAGAGCTATGCGACAAACTTTCTCAAGTGGCCAAGTGGTAGAAGATCCAGATTGGTCTCCGTGTAATTCTATTCAAGAAACAAGGGGTCGTCAGAATTTTTCCGCCATTGAATGATCACATTTTTGGCAAAGAGAATAGGGATTATGCTATGCACAGGTGGGATTTTCTAGCAGTTTGATACAACCTGGGCTTTTCCGATGAGATTGAGTACCCTATGAATAAAGCGCTCAGAAATGTTTCTAAAATGAAACAACGAGTACGCATCAGGTTTTGTGCGAAAAATCAAATCAGCCGCACAAACACTCTGCGGATGTCGCAGCATCTTTATGAAAACACTGAGTAAAGGTCAAACAACTTGTACTTGCCAGTCGTTATAAGACAGTTAGCGGAAGGTACCGAAATTTCGATTCGCTCATATTAGACTATTTAAGCGTCAAAAAGCTTGCTCGTGAACCGAAGTTTAGGTTAACGAACACCTATGAAGATTCGTAACAGGAAAACCTTTTGGAACGTTCACTACGCGAGACGAGACGTGGACGTAAGTTTACGACGAGGAAATTAAGACGTAGCTTTTTTGAATATCAGCCTAAAAACGGACCTTGACCGATAAAAGTCCCACAAGCTAGGTCAAAAGCTCTTTGCGGCTGTCTTTGACCATGTGGGAAATCGCTCATTATGAATTTATGCTGTTCGGCTCCACAATCACCAGGGAATACGATTAAGAAGTTGTCAAAAAATGGCGCGCGTCTATCTAACCCAAGATCTCAGAACTCTGGCTCAGCGTGCCCTACATGGGTCCTACATCACGACAATAATAGTCATTGTGTGTGTTGCCCCAACCCCCGTATTCATCACACTTAGTTCCCCGCAACGTTTTTATTTAGTATCTGAAGAGAAGCGTTTCGGCACGATAGAAGAAATAAAAGAAACAATTGCTGATTGAGCTGAGAGCTATCCCGACATTCGAATTTGTAACGTGTTTTAAAAATAGCAAAAAACGGTAGCATAAATGTATAGTATCGGCGAAGGGCACGGTTTGAGTTGAGACCTAATCATGTTTGAACCAAGGGTTGTGCAATTTCTTTTGAAGGGATTCTAGAACTGTTGGCTTCAGCTCTTGTCCTCCTGGATCCTGATCGCTGTCCGAGGTAATGCCCAACGAAAAACATTACTTTCTGATGTTTGTTGAGATAAGCCCTAAAATATATTCTAGTTAACGTCATCGTATTTTTTGAGCGAGCAAATTTGAAATTCGTTTTAGGCCAAGTAACGACAATAACACAATCGATACTGACGGAGGTCAGGGCTACGTCTGCAGCAAGTTTTGCTTGCTTCTTTAAGTTGTGCAAATGACTAATGCGCTACTACTATTACTATTGTCCTATTTTGAGTGATTGCCAGTTTTTTTTGACTATTCACGCGTAAGTATTCGTTTAATGAAGTATCCTGTATACCTTATACGAGGATGGTCGTCCAGTCACTATTGCGAGCAGAGCAAGTAGTACTATAGGGCCACATTTGAGGACACTTATGTGTACCGAGGTCAGATCTTCCTTCATTTTCAATAGGCCATAAAAATAGCCAGCAGTCAATAGCACGAAGGGTAGAGCCATTGGAAAAATGCCTCGACATAGAATGAACCCCGCGGGAAGTCGATACAAGTCTGCTGACGTTCTTTCCATTCTAAAAAGTACAAATGCTGTTAAAATGTATTGATTTGAGTAAATTCACAGTTTTTATGTACAAAGATTACAGAAGCTTCGATGCCGTTATAATATAACTATATAATAGAATAAAAATAAAACCTAAGTGTGAACATGATGAGGATACGCTGCACGATTCTGTTTCCAGAAGCAACAAAACTTAGCAGTTTATAAAACGATCATTATGCGGCGTTGTACCACAGATGAGACGAAAAATTGCTCTTTCGAATAATAGTTTACTATGATTTTTGGTCGATCATTCGAAATAGGATTAACCTTTAATAGTAATAATAATTAATAGTAATTTTAATAATAAATTTATTTTGAGCTACTTATATTTCAAAACAGTCGCGTTTACTTACTCTATTTCCAGAGTAATTTTGGCCTCTAATTCCTTAGATATTTTTCGAAAATCGTATTTTTATCGGCTCAAAATCGGATCTATTCCGATACCGTTACAATTTTTTTTACAAAAAACAAAAAATATTTTTATTATTTCAGCTAGCGAACCTTCAAATACTTGAGTTCATATTTTGAATCCATATATCTTCACGAATATTGTTGTTACAGTGTCACGGACCTCTCTCTCTGGCGGTGTCGTCGGTCGAGCGCTCCATGCAATCCACGACAGAGGACAAGGTGCGATGGTGCCGGCACGGCAAAACTTTACACAATATGCTGTAATGCATGGATAAAAATCAAATAAAAGGGGAGGTTGAGTCGTTATTTGGTGCAGAATTCATTCCGAGGGTGATGATGATCGTAACTGGCAAACTTTTTCCTCTCGAAAAATTAGCGTTAGAAGCTAGCCGTCTCCAATCTAAGATTTAAGCTAAGTCAAGCTATTCGACCATCGACTACAATTGAATATTCATTATAAAGCTTAACAATGCGGAGATATGATAATACTTATTTAGGAAAACGGCTGTTATGCTATCGCATTATGATAAACGGACTGTAGCTTTCTAATGAAACTGTTTTTTTTCGAGTTCAGAAGTACGCTCAAACCCTATATCAGATATGGCGTACATTCCTATACACTTACAAGTAGCATATATGATTTAGACTTCCTCAAAAGATGTTTTCCTATGAGTTTGCCAATCGAGTTTAGTTGTAGATATATTGAAATCGTAGGAATTGAGATGTTTCAATACTAATGGCGTCCGTCTGCAAGCTTTACGTAATCGTTTGTTGTGGGTGAGTGAGTAAGTAAATGAACGCTGATGGTATGCCGCCAAAGCGAAAGCTCCAGCAGTACACCCAGCGCCCTCTGTGCTGATCGTGATCCTTAGGGATTTGTCACAAGTTTAAGCAGAGTAAGGATCTAATATGAACATGAAATCAAACTAGTATTACACTGAATCAGGATAGATAGAAACTATGTTATAAACTATCATGGTCGTCTATTTCGACTATAGAGGTGAGCGACTGTCGTCAATCCATCATTCACGGACTTTCGTTTCTTGGCTAATTTCTGACAGAGTGTTTGGATATGAACTACTACTCAAAGCAGTATATGACACAATGCTTTCAAGATCCAAGTTTCATTTGGTACTACCTGTATTTATGCGTGTTCGTATCAACTCTACTTCTGGCAATGCAAAGACGTTCAGCGTTGCATATAGTGATAACAAATGAGAACTCAGAACCAGCCTGTAATTCCATACGGTATTTGCTCAAAGGGATGCCAAACTTACTATTTTGATGTAAGGATCAGTTCACAGTTTTTCTCTCTTTTGGCCACTTCGAGCTGCTTCGAACATAATTTGCCTGATTGTATCTAGTGATATCTACGCTAAACTGATTTGCCTGACGATAATAAATCATTCCATATTTCCAAGTTGAGCTTTATTAATATTATAATATCTTGTAATTACATTATAATATTTTACTCATATTATACTCGTCAACTTTTTTGGGATTGGAGGTTTGGAACCTAGAGGAAAGCTGGATAGTGGGAAAATGCAGGTCCCAACAGAACGGTGATGATTTGAAAAAGGGGTATATGATTAGAAGTTACAAAATATGGAAAGAGAAAGAGTGACAGCCCTAAAAACCTTTAACTTGGAAAAATGTGCACCAGGCGGTTAAGAAGACTCATCCTTATTTTAGGCGATAAAGGCTAAAGCTAGAATTAGCGAAGCGCCAGTCGCAGAGAGCGAAGTCAACACTTCATGCGTCTATGCTCAGGCTAAAGAAAGCCTATTGGTATCAATATCAGCTTCAGCATAACTGCTGTTGACTAAAGAATACAGCACTATTTTTAAACGGTTCATTGTAGGAGAATTCCAGTTAGTCAATGACGGACCAGGCCCACGTTCTACAGAAGGGGCAAAAAGCTTATATAAATGTAGCGATCCGTATTGTCCAATTAGGGTGAGAAATTATGGGACAACATACCACAGATGAGCTGACGAATCGTGAACTCAAACAAAGCTGCTAGCAAACAGAAAAATCGCAAGAGAAAATGACAGGTCGGCCGGCGGTGTCGTATAATCCGAAGCGTTTTGAAATGCAGAGACCTGACGCAAATATTGGCGGTCGCCGTACACGGCTGCAACGATTTCATTACATTCCACTCGTAGTAGGCTTATGCCTAAATACTAATAAACAAACTTGATCGTGGCAGCCCGGAAGAAGCGCGACAGAGTAAAAAGGATATGTACTTGAAATGTGGGGAAGCATTCAATGAAGCAATTGTGTTGTTTTCAAAAAGCCGACCTGTATAAAAAACGGAGTGAACAAACAGAGGAATTAGCTAGAGCTTATCAGTAAAAAAGGCGATATTTTAGGAAAACAGGTCCGACGCCGCCCAAACTCTTAAATCCACTAACTCGAGAGGCAGTCTCTATGACGTGTAGGGCAAAGATAGAGAGATGCGATTACAATTCAAGACAGTATAAAATTGATCCCGGGATGATCGCCGAGGTGGCTAGGAAAATAGCCGAAGGGTTAGATAGTAGCGGAGTCGAATGAGATTTACCGAAGGTCATAAAATAGTTGCTAGGACAAACGTTTCAATCAATGGCACCAAGCCATTGCGAGAGGGTCGCTTCGTAAACACATAAACAAGCACATAAAGAGGCTGGGCTGGTACTGGGATTCAAGCTGAGTTTTACATGCTGCTCCAACTCTTCTTCGGCCTAGTGGGTAAGTATTTAAAAGATTCCATACTGCAGCCATATATACCTGGCTCGGAACTTGTATATAGAGAACATGGACTAGAGGCTTATGTTTAGTTATTCTTCTATTTATTATTCCTTAACTTGCCATGAAGATCATTGGAGAGCTAGTATTGTAAGTGTTATTGGATCTATTATCGATTACGCTATTTATAGGGAGCGATTGTGGTCGCTTCATGACCTTAACTAAGATAATAATTAGAATGCGTCTTAGGTGCGTTCTGCCGGCGGCACCATTGACGCAGGTGGGAGGACCTATTGCCCCTATTACATACTATACAAGTAGAAGTGTCACTGTCGACTGTGTCGGTAATGAGGCTCGATTGTCGACCATAATTTGAATAATTGTCTAAGGTAATACAACCAAATTTGTGTTGGTGGTTATTGACGCAGTACGAGTAAGAGCTTCTTATATGCCAAATAGTTCAGAACGCTACGTAAAGATGCGAGCATCTTAGAACAGAGCGGACCAGCTTCACATATCAGCATATTTTGGAACGAGGGCGAGACGGAAATCCGTCGGCATGAAGCGTATTAGAGAGACGGTCTGACAAATTTCAATAGGATAACGTCGATGCACTCTCTGTCTCTATTTAGATGACGTTCTAAAAATTGATAAGGATACTTTATACGGGTTTGTTGGCAGCTTAAGTTGCGTATAAAACCGAAATTGAGGCAAACAAATGCTACCTGGATTAAACAGGGCCATGCTTTTCTCGTCACTGATGACACATAACGACATCGAAGCTAGCCCAATGACAACTGGCATTTGTATACAAAATTGTATTTTCATTGGCCAAGCATTAATTTTGTTTAGTCTCTTCTGTGTATTTCTACTTTCAGAGAGTCTTTCTAGCTTTTTTTGAGGTGAAATGAACGCCATAGATACACTTACCATGAACAGTATGTGTCTCTCAGTAATACGTCGCGGTGCTTTAATCAGCACAGATAACAGTGGATCCCTTTTGTCGCTCCCCTAACGGAAATATCAATCACCCCAACTCTCAGCGAATATACATAAAATAATTCCCAATAGTTTGTTGCTACAATCTAAGTTTTAAAAGATTATTTACATAGAAAATGGACGACAAGACATTCCCAATACAGCGGTAGTTTTCAATGTTGACGAAAATGAAAGTCAATGATAAATGACAGCGTATCACTGTAAGCAAAATGGCTAACTAGACAGACGATAAACTAAACATTTCAATCAAATAACACTAAACAATATAAGTCTGGAGTAAGAAGAAGCGTTTTTTTTTTCAATATGCACTACTTAAACAACATTAGCGGGCTTCGTCAAACCCGTAACCTATGAACGAAGCGAAATACGTTACTAGCATTTTAGATGAATGAAAAAATGCATGAAAAGAAAACAACACCATCTGCTAAAAATATCTAATAGCATTGGCCTGCTATAGGACCGCTAGTGAAGCTAAACAATGAAAGAACCGTTTGGAATATCCTGCTTCTTCGCGCCTAGCGTCTACATAGTGACCTTCATCATACCACCTGCAAACACTGCAGTCTCTCTGGGAAGTGAAGGGGGCCATCATAGCCATGTTGCTGATACATTCGCAGTTACATTGTAAACTGTGTACAAAATTAACTATTGAAAGTATACAACTGGAGTACCCGTCTGGGTTAGGTCATTTAACAAGAGAGAGAGAGAGAGAGTGAGAGAGAGTTCTTTTCCCATGTAGCCGGCACCCGACTGTTTTTTGAAGATCGTAGATGACCGCAACAGTCTTTTAAGCTTCATTCAATGCAAATACCTTTTTCCAGCGGCAATAGCTTGTCGAGATCTTTTTTGGTATTTCTGAATACGGTGTTTCTCTCGAATAGAGTGGAACATGGTTTTGTCTTGTGTGGCTCGCTTTCCGGCAAGCAGTCCATGTCAAACCTAACTCGTTGAATAGATACAGCCGGTCTCATTAAAAGGCCATATACAACATGTGTTCGGTGAAAGCAGTGATATTCGTCAAGAGATTAGCCCCATGAGAGCGAAATTCTTCCAGACAATTAGAAAAAAAAAAAATACTATTTACGCTTTTCAACTAGTCCGAGACGAGCTTGCTGACAGTTGTCCCATGAAAAAGATACCACTGATTGTTCAGCAAGTATATATTTCACGGTTAAACCCTATTCACAAGCATTTTACATTTAATACTCACTATATAGAGAGAAATAGCATTCGGATTCATTTACTAGCATCTGCATTAGATGAAACAATGGAAGTATTGCTAGACATATGCTGAGATAACTCTATGCAATATCGTCTAGTGTGCGTGTGTATATGAAACCAGACGAAGACAGTGCCCTGCATAGCCGTAGCGGCCCTGCGGCCTTTCGCTACGAGGGGGGGGTAAAACCTAGTAAATTAGATGAATCGGTAATTGTTTGCGTAATCGTTCCTCTGGAATTGATCATTTAACATCAAATGGTTTTCATTGTCTGCTGCAACCAATACAATGCACTATATTGTCATAAAGGAAAGTGAGAAAATTAAAATTTCACCCACGGCACGCACGGAATACGTCCGTATCGTGGATGTTGTTGCAATGAGTACGCAGATGAACGTGTTCGAAATGCTTGGAGTATAGTGTGATACGCTGATAGTTCAATTAAGTTATATCATCTGAGCTAATATTGATTATGTTCAAGTAATCATTATGAGTAAATTTCAAATCCGTACCATGTGCTACCTGCCCACTTTGGCCCAGTAATAATGATCGTGTACTAAATAAAAGGGTTTACTATTGGAAAAACAATGTATCTATCGAAGTTTTAGTTCGTCATTATAATTGTGACGATATAGTAACACGCCCTTCGATACGTCTGGGCCAGTTGAATCTTAATTTGCTAGGGCAGGTGAGAGCAAGTTACTCGTTTAATTTTGAAACTACTACTACTACTACTGCCCCGACAAGTAGAAACGACACGAAAACATTTAGTTTCTTAGTTACTTCAATTATAAGCGGCTGTAGCAGTATCGCTGCTTAACGATACTGAACAAAGATGAATACCTAACGCTGCGACGGTGCCAGCTAGCACGCAATGCATGCCCTCAACTGATGGTGTTTTTTTACATTTCTAGGTGCGAGAACATGTTTCGCTGAACTTCATAGTTTCTCTGGCCGGGCCAAACCGACGTCTCTGAAATTTTCTCAACTATATAATAAATATACCAGCTTTGCAATTTTAGACTTTATAGTAAAAGTAATAACGATAATAATTAATATGCGGATGAAGAAAATAGAACTACGATAGGAGCTTGTTTGTACTTCAGCAGAAGTCCAGTAAAAACACAGTTTTTCCAATTTTTGATCTAATAGATTAATTAGTTCTCTATTAACTCGTTTGATCTAAGATTTTACTTTGCGAGAGCGACTGAATCGTTCTATAATAAATGGTTCATTCGGAACCAAACAGTTCCAACACCCTGCTCAGCTAAAACTTCCACCTTATTTTCTTTTGAGTTATAGTGACGACTTTTTATTTACCTTTTAATATTAGGAGGATGAATTAGAAATTAATAGTTGAACCGTAATAACATTTAATTTAACCTGAAACAATGAGTAAATCAGATACGGAAAAACAGTTTTCTCGTATACCCATTAATGAAATATGCTTGCCCTGAAACACAAAAAATCATTTACACCAAATTGATTGTGGTTTTTTTTTTCGTAAAAATTGATTTCTTGTTGTTTATTACTTGAATGAAAAGTCACTAGTCCTCGCGTTGAACAATTGCACCATCGATGAGCGCTCACAACTTCAACCATTGTTTTATAACAGGCTTGTTGTTTGTTGGTTCATCGTTTTAGCCGTAGTGAACAGAAAGGCCGGTCCGTCGAGGAAGAAGGTCCAAACGAATAACGTGTAAGTATACGACCTATAGCATTTAAGTGACGCTTAGTTTCATTCCGTGAAAACAGAACAAGGGACTCCATAGATGATGCATTCAAATAGCGACTAGCAGCCATGAGTTATAGAATCGAAAAGGTACTGGGTCTCCGATTAGGGATATCTAGTTTCTTTGTCCACCGATGACGACTAGATGTACCAAGAAGGCACATGCCAACGCGATCATTAACATTTGGTACATTAGCTATCGTATGGTAATACTTTGGACATCTTTAGACTATGACTTTAAGATGTATTGGACTCAAGATATTACTGCAGTACAGCCGGTCAGAAATAACCGAGTCAATTGACGGCTCACCCGCTGTTCGCAGATGGGCATTTAACGCCGTTTTCGTATAACAGAAAAGGTTTAGATAAGGCTTCATGCACTAAAAATCACCGAAACCTACGTATTCGTTTACCCACAGCTGATTCTCTGGCGGCTTCCCGAGTCAGCTGTGTTGATGTAGTTTGTCTTAAAAATTTATATCTACGCAAAGGTACACGAATAGATTTCAGTGTGATATTGTCAATCCGGAGCCCTGTTACTTTTTGATGTGGCTTGCAACAGGTAAGAAAAGAGTGTAGTACAACAGTTATATATCCTGTTAGAATTAATAGGAGTAACTCGCATTGACATCTAGCCCACTCTTGATCGGGTGTACCTTCGGTACAGATGAAATAGGGCTGTGATAATTCGTTCTACGTAGCGTTAATCAAGCAGGTGCGTGTTTTGGGGTTTTCCTGTAAGAATGGTCTAGGTTTTTGAATATGTACACATAAATCTATTGAAAAATACAAGCAGCTAGTTGAAGCCACACTTGGAGCAAGTTAGAAAAATATCGTTTTTGACAAGCAGAATATTTGACAACAGTATAGTCAGTAATAACACGGTGAGTTAAAATCCTAAATAAAATAAATCGATTTGGGGATCTTCGGTAGCTATTAATGAAGTGTTTGTGTAATTGACGAATACTGCTTACTTTTCAAGTTTTGAAACCACATTTTAAAATACAGTTTGGCTATCACCGCAACAAACTCTGTAGCCATTGTTTTACACAAAGTGGCATATGGAGAAATGTTAAACAGGCGCATGTAGCGACTATACATGGCACTCGAGTTCGATGGATTCACCGTGTTGTGGTCCAGTGGGTCAGTTAGTCAGAGCGTCGTGCTAACGGCGCGAAGGTTGCAGGTTCGAACCCTACATGTGCTTTGTGTTCTTTTGCACATTTTCCTTTTATATACCACAAAATGTTCAAAATATAACATATATACTACAAGCTACAGTATTCAGTACAGGTGTTCCTCAAACGTATATAGTGCATCGCCTTAAATGTATCATTGAGTAACGCCATAGTAGGGTAGCTCGGGACTAGGATGAGGTTTAACGATTCTCGTTAGCAATATTTGGCGTTTTCTATATATGTTTTGTCTTAAAACGTGTCTTTAAATATTATCGTTGCTTTTTTCCATGCCTGGTGTTATTTGCCTCAATATATAGAATTTATTATATATACATATATATAGAAAGAAAATATCAAGTGCTAGATTTGTTTAAACTCTATTAACTCACCATTAAACATACCTTTATTGCCCTTTATTTTGTATCTTATGCAGAGTAAATTTAGCTATTTTAGCTTTTTTAACAATTGACAAACAAAGTCAAAGACGTGGACCCAACTGAAGCCAAACCTCCAGTACACGAAAATAATAATCTTCCTTTCATATATCTAAGTAGTTTTAATATCATCTCGGTTTTAGCGGACTTGCAATATTTTTAAAATGGGGTTCACAAATCAATCTGTAATCATCTTAAATTCGTCCACTCGAAGTAACAATTTCCCCAACCATTTGATGTAGCAGAACCCTTAACTTCTATGTCAGTACTGACCCCGCTGAGTGTAAAGTTATGCAGTACCGTAACGTTCCTCATTGTTGGATTTAACTAAAGATTTAATCATATTTTCTTTCACTTCAGTTTTAACTGAACGAAAATGCGCAGTTACGCTGGTCGCCGCTAACTGCTGTGTTACTTATCATTCTCCTTCTTCTTCGATTCGTTGTCCACATACAATACCAATCGACCTGAGGCAAGGCCAACGCGCCCAAAATCGTCAGGTCTCAAATTAAGGCTTTCAAAAGCTAGTTTTCATCGTTACTGCTCGTGAATTTATTCTTAGAGGCTTTCATGAAACGGGATTGCGCTACTTCCTCTATCTCCTCTGTTGTCCATAGTCTAGTTCAAGTTACCTGTCTACCTGTGTACTGTGGGAATTCAAACATGCGAAACTTCTTTAATCATTACAGCTTCCCGTAAGTTACTGGCAGACAGCCAACACATGGCTAGTAACTGGCTCGAATGGGAGCATGTTATAGATAGCGTCACCTGACCGTATTCTATGTAGTTAATTCCGCAAGCTACTAGCTGTCATTGGCATAGGAAAAGTAAATAACTTAAGCGTCTGAATGTTGCGCTAACCAGCCAGTGATTCTGCTGTTTTCATTTACCCAGTCCATCATCAGAACCGAAGTTGACCTTGAAAATGTAAAGAAAAAAAAGGCCCGCGTCTGAAGTGATTGTTCCTCGATGGTACCGTCGGAAACAGCGTCGTTGGCTGTATTAGCCCTAGTGTCGGCATAGTCGGTCAATGCTTTATACGAATCGCGATTATTGTTCGAATGTATATGAAGCTTCAGATTATTCTTAGCTAGGTAGGTTTAGCTTTCGTTAACTCGAAATCATGATGTGCTTTTTTGAGCAATATTGAAAAAGAAGATCTATGGCAATGACTCTATATAAAAATTAAAGGTCTTCAGAGTAAGCAAGTGCCCTGTAGAGTGCATCGGTATAACCTCTAGTTCCGATGAGTAACACTCATAACCTATATACGTTGGTATAATACGATCTCATAAAAGATTAAATTATAAGGAGAAATATAGGGATAATTGTTCGGCGACGCATTCTTTGTAAGGTCAAAGATCTAACCGTCCTGCCTGTGACGTAATGGCCTATGCTAACATCATTGACGAGCCGGGAAATTCGTATAGCCAAATTAATAATTTACTGCTCAGCTGTATAATGTAACACGTTTACGGTCACCGAATATTTGCTTTTCATCAATGTACACATTGCCGTGGCCTCCAGCTTACTTTCCATGTAGCTAAACGGACAATAGGGGCCTTGTGTTAATTCCGTGACGAGATTACATAGGAACAACATGATCTAATCCATAACTGGATCTTATTAAATGACTCAGCAGTCATTTAGTATGTATTTTTTGGCGTAATAAATGTTTCAATCAAGCCAAAATGTTTCGAAGAAGGATATCAATCCTTTGATACCATGTACCCTTTTGCGCACGTGCATTTAACGGACTTTTACAGAAAACTAGGATCAAGCCTGCATTCGGACCGTTTTGCGCATTCGCGGCTGGGACCTGTTAACCGCCTTGACCTGAAACCTCTTCAACTACTACTCGTAAATTTTGGCAACGCTAGAAGTAAGAGCAGTTCTTCTTTGTAGAAAGACAAACTCATAAATGTAACAATTTACATATAATCCTTCGTGATGTATTTTCCCAGTTCAATATTTAATTTCTATTTGGCTAGTAGATACATTATACGCGTTTGCAGGAAGCGTTGTATGGACCTAAGTGATCCCAAATAATGAATAGTATTGGAATTCATGACTCGGGTTTTATGGCCCCCTAAATATATCCAAATAAAATACAATTTAACACCGATTGGAATTGATTCAACTGCTGGCATGAAGAATCTGCTCTGTATCGTTTCGTGTTAGAATCTATGTATGAAAACGTGAAGCATGGTTATAGTGTGAAAAACATCATGTCGAACGCTTTATCCCAGGGGAAATCGTTACATATGGGCTTTAAAGCGACGAGAACAGTAACGATGAAGTATACGGTTCAAGTACGCTGCTGATTGATGATGTTGCCACATTGGCTTGCTGGTGAGTTGCGAAATAGGTGTTTATATTTGTGTGTCTAGAGTATGGAACGTCTAAACTCGCGGGCACAAAAGAGGACGAGATGAAATATTTGTGTGATCGCCTGCCGATCCATTTGTTTTACAATGGAGTCCAATTTCAAATTGGCAACACGTCGATTTGAGGTTGATCGAATCGATTCCTGCCCATCAATAGCTGGTTTAAGCTAGAAGCCTTTCTGAGGCCTCAGCCAAGAACCGATCTGAACTCGAAGACGAGCTGAACTTCAATAAATACATACTCTGCATAATATTATTTTGCTAGATGCGTTTATAACGATTGAGGTAGAACATTTGCACAAAGTACTCAATCCACTGTTGTGACACTAGGACCAGTTTATACGAGCACTCTTCCGCTTGCAAGTCAGTTCAGCATAAAGGTACGATTTTTAGACGAATAATCGGACGTTAGCCTAGTTCAACAGAGCGTCATTGTTAATTGATCTGAATGCGTAACAACGTTCTAAGGGACCTATTCCAGGTACAGATGGAGAACACAGGAAAACTTCGGGGGCTAACCATCTTCATAACGGGTGCAAGTCGCGGCATTGGCAAGGAAATCGCTCTCAAATGCGCCAAGGTAATTAATACGACAGCAAAGCGGGGGACACATTTATTTATAAAAGGGAAATAAAGGTTTCTTTTCGTAGTTCCACTTAATGGGTAACGTGCTTTGCCTGCTAATCTTAGGGACACATTGCGGTCTAGGTTTGCACTCACACGGCATAGACAGACAGACTTCGTTTCGTGCCGGGAGCCAGCTACCTGTTTGACATAAAGCTCAGAACTCGAGCCTTGGTAGCCAGATGTAAGTTGAGGTAGACCGAAAACGAATTGATGGAAAAGCAGTAATGTTGTAGATGAGTAAACATAATTATATTGGACGACAAACTATACTATAAACTAGACTACATGCTGTTTTGGACGACGTGTTAGTCCTTTTTTAGTGGATCAATTTATTCAACACATCTCGCTTGGTGCGGATGAACATGAACCCTGGAATCAGGTAGTATTCATCAGTAACATAGATTTTCTGCCTTACAAGTTTGCGCGTCGATGTGGGAACGTAGCTTATCTTGCCTGCAAACTTTTCAGTTTTTGTTTCTAGAGTAAACATTGGATTGATCACATTCATACATCGTACATTCGGAGAAAATCATACATTCGTACGGTGCAACTCTATCGGACAAAAATCCAATCTCAAGAGGAAGCTACCCGGGCAAAAAAAATCCACAGAAGTGGTCAGATCAACTCTGTTTAGAGCACGTCAGAATTTGAGCTAGGCAACTGATTCGTTGTCTCTCTCATTCGGTGCAAATCTCGCCAGTAGGTAAGGTAGCCCCATAAGGTAGCCCCCAAAGCAAAGCGTAAATGGGTTTGACGATAATAGAAAATAGACCATAAGTATGTATTTTCTGATCATGTTTTTTAGAATAATACTAATACTGTAAAAATAACGTTGTAAACGTAATACTGAACGGATTACGTAAAGGCTACATTGGAAATACAAACAAGTCATTAAGGTTAAATTGGATGTTACAACGCTGAGTTTCAGTATCACAGAATTCTACATATGGATTTTTGCCAACTTCACAACCTACAGTCAGGGTCCGTCAGACATTACCTAGCTTAAATGTAAAACCATTTGTATATTGAATTACATTTTTTTTAGAGCATTACACACGATGGACTGATAGACATAGTCCTGTTCGGTTCATTTTATATAGGACTTATGTGTTATTGACTGGCTGTCTTGCCCCAGAGGTAATACTATATATTGACGAGTTCATAACGTTGCATAGGCTTATTACTTTCGTAAAAAACAGGCTTTTCTGTTTATTTGAACATGCGGAAGTACGTCGTCACCATTATCTAAGATTTTTTGAAGAAACTCATCCCCAGTGCTAAATTTAGTGCTCCCTTTTCATGTCTTTATACCTCTCTTTGCTTGAAATTCGACGTCAAAGCTCATTCGTTCAGCTCTTTGGTGACTTATGATTCATAATTTCCATAATTTGGCCTTAGCCCTCTAACATTGTGTTTATCATGATGCCCGGCGATTGATATATTCATTTATTCCTAGACCGATGCCGAAAGTTTTACTTCAGTGAATATACAGGAAAAACACAGTTGCACTGCCGGCTGACTCACCATTAATATATTCGAGGATCTCAACTACGTTGAAGTTATAGGGAATAGATATAGCTCTTTCTTGGGGTAGCAATACCATTCGAGGAGTAGTGATGTTGAGAGGTTTTTTTTTCTTTTGAAAGAAGAGTGGGCATCTTAAGAATAGGGCGCAGAAAAAAACATGGTTGTTGCTGAAATAAGATGGAATAGTGTAGGCAGAAGAGAGGGAAAATGGGATTAATGCTCTCAAAAACTTGATGGACTTACACCCCTAGTCGCTTTGCATTCGGTCGGTATTAATTAAAGGATCGTGTTTGCTTGGTTTCTTGTATATAGGATGGTGCCAACATCGTAATCGCTGCGAAGACAGCACAGGCGCATCCGAAGCTACAAGGTACAATCTACACAGCTGCTGCTGAAGTGGAAGCCGCGGGTGGCAAGTGTCTTCCTCTTATAGTTGATGTTCGCGATGAACAAAGCGTGGCTTTGGCCGTTGAGGAAGCTGTGCGAAGATTTGGAGGAATCGATGTACTCGTCAATAACGCATCGGCCATCAGCCTTACGTCAACCGAAAACACAGAGATGAAACGGTATAGCGGTCAATCTTAGTACAGCACGTTACCTAGGGAATTTTGTTTCACCTACAAACATTAGACAAACTAGGTGTCACTGAGCCTAAATAAAATAACATTGAGAACTGTCTGTGTTACCACGCCAACGTGCAATTCAGTGCATGTACCCTTATGCATCTAGATACTGCAATCATTTCTAGAGAACAAATACAATAAGTCTACGTGAAGTTCTTAAATGATTTAGAGCAAAAAAGAAATCTATATGTATGTGAATCCACTAAACTTTCAAGTTTATGTTCAGCTGACTGTTGCTCTATCATTCGACAGCTATGACCTTATGCATCAAGTTAACGTGAGGGGAACATTTCTCACCTCTAAGTACTGCATTCCACATCTTAAGGCCTCTCAATATGGAGGACGGATCCTCAACAACTCGCCGCCGCTGGTTAGTATCAGAAAATATAAATAAGCAATAATCTTGGGCACCCGTTCCGTTTTGGATTATCTACGAAGTTTCTGTAGCTGTTTGCGCTATCTTCCGTGCAACGTTTAGTACACTCGTAGCTTAAGGATGATGTTAGGTCTATTTTTCAGTTACTCTTATTAGAATGTATATGGCATAAAAATGTCTATGTTTTCCACTGGAGCGTAATTTGCAGCATAGGCGTCCGCTAAAGAAAAAATTGTTTTCGCTAATCTTGCTATTGAAAACTGTGTTGTAAGTGTTTGCTCTATGAAGAGCCACCGTTATCTTATATATAATAACATAGTCTTAAGAAATGTTCAAGCCAAGATCGCTGAGTACCACCTACGGCATTTTATATTTGTAAGAAAATGTTCGGCAACTTTAGAAGTGCTACCACTGTGAATCTCAGAAATAGTTAGCAAGCGAAGGGTGTTATTTTGGTACGGAAAATATATAAGATGGCTATCATAAAGAATATAGTTGTGGAATATATTGCTTTTTTATTTCACAGTACGGGAACGACATGTCGAATAAAAATATTGCCTTGTTAACAAAAATCGTTCGCGTAACCAAATACGTCTGTGTTGGAGGTGGGTTTATAATCATGCATTGGACTTTGAAGACCTGTTGGGTTCTGATGCGGGCCAATAAGTGCATGCTGTCGAAGCAGACTAGCCGAACGAGCAGAAAAGTACCTTCTCTGAAAGCTGTTACGGCTCGTGCATTGCAGTACTTCGCCTTCTAGCGCTTGCGCAATGGATTGGGCAGAGGACACTACGAAATCGTTGTCGATAAAAACAACTCGCGATGACGACACAGGACCACAAAAGTAGGAAGCTATGGCAAACTAGGCGGGGGTAGTTGTGCAGCTGAAAATCGCTGACTAAAGCCCAACACTACGATGACAAATAGTTAGAAGGCACGCCGGGAGTCCGTAAAAAAAATGTACATGTGAAATTTTTAAAAAAAAGTTCGCATAGAAAGTACATAATCAGTGGATTTATCATTGGAATCATATCTACCTATCTACGCATACAGATGTTGTTTTTATTCTCGAAGATAACCGAAAAATGAATAACATTAGCCCAGTTGTTCGTTCCAAATGGTGCCACTAACCCAATCATCTAGCGAGATAAAATAGCTGGTAGCCTGTAATTACCTACCACCTACTGTCGAAATCAAACGTTTGATGTCACTCCGTAGAAGCTGGGGAAAGAAGTGGATTCTCGTTAGTTAAATCATTCTAATGACCAAGGGATCTCTTATAGTAGAAGAATTCCGATAAGAAAGATTGGTTTGTAGATATTGAAACGATGCATATAGAACAGAATGTTGTAGTAATGCATTTTGCATTGCAAAATCACATAGAGATGGCCTTGTAATGAATTTATAGAGGGGGCTTCACGTCTTAAAGGTGCAAAGTAGAAATACAAAATCAAGAAAGTCATTAAGGCTTAGTAAACCTCAATAAGCATGTAAACAGAAAAAGTTTAATGAAAGCCCAGAAGTGAATGGACCGCTTCAGCAATACTTTTGCAGATGAACCCTACACGCGGGTATCACATCGTACAAGCTTGAGGCAGCGCTCATGTAGCTGATTAAGCTTCAGAGCCGAAGAGGCACGTATGTATTTAATTATTCAAGTTATTATTTGAAAGTTTAAAAATTGCCCTTAAATGGGTGTCCTTAGTACAGTTAAACAGTCTGTTTTTTAGGTTGCCAATTTTAATCAGTACGATGGAGAGCCTCTATTCCATTCGGGTTGCCTTACTTAACGTTACTTACTCCTAAGATTGCACTTACTTTGTTACTAAATAGCGTTTCTATACGAGTACCACCACATGAATAGCACCGAACGACTTCAGAGCGCCACCTTTTTCCAACGGATCGAAACGGTGTTCGTCTGAAGCTTCCATATTCTAGATATTATATTTAGTCTACGGTAGCATTTGGTGCATATGTATACTTTACGAAAATCCTGATGTTTCAGCAGCATATTTCCAAAATTTACCAGCATGCTGATCACAATAAATGCACGGAATCTAGAAATGAAGAACTCGGCACACAGTATGATCACGCCTGACGGCCTCTTTGTCATTCTGATACCGTAGGAGATGAATGCCCGATGGTTCGCACCTCATTGCGCTTACACAATGACCAAATTCGGTATGTCAATGTGTGCTCTGGGGATGGCTGAAGAATTCCGGGGTTATGTGGCCGTCAACACTCTATGGCCGAAGACTATGATTCATACCGCTGCCTCGAAACTGCTTGCAGGAGGAGACTCACACACTTCACAGGTAGGTGGGAAAGCTATCTGATGAATGAATGTAAGTATCCTCAGAAAGGTACATTAATTAAGCCATCAAGTGGGTATTTTGGGAAGAATGAGCTAACTTGAGGATTCATTACCACACGAGGTCCATTGACCTTACGGCTATTTGTAAGAATGGCTGGGCAGCATATATATATATATATATATACATATATATATATAGGGGGAGAGAGAGAGAGAGAGAGAGAGAGCAATGACGGCCCTAAGAGAAGTGCTGTAGTTGATTAAACTGTTTTCATTTTTTACTTGAAATTTTTACTTATCAGGCCCTATCGAGAAGGCCAACGATTATGGCAGATGCCGCCTACGCAATACTCTGTAAACCTATGGACTTTACAGGAAATTTCTGCATTGATGAGGAGGTGCTTCGAAATGAGGGTAGGTCTATTCGATTTGGTACTATGAGCGCAATATAGTATGATTTTTTTTACAACACTAATCGACAATAACCTTACTACGCGACATTAGGAAACACACAAAATTGAAACCAAAACATAGTCACGTATTAGTTCCAACAATGAATAAGCTTAACTCACGAAATCTTTATATTCCTATCTTAGGTATCAGCGACTTTGAACAGTATTTATGCATCATCGATCAGGGATCGGAAGTACAACTGGACTTTTTCCTTCCTGAGAAATACTACAATGTTGACTCAAAGCTGTGAAAGTTCGTCATATAACCGCGTATTATCTATAAAACGCATAGTTTCTTTATTACTGCAAACAAAATCGCTCTAGATGCGATTATATTACGGGACGAGCAGCTGTGATATAATGCCTAATGTATCTATTTCTCTTCCAAATACACGTCGTATTGTCTATTGAAGGGTGATATTGATTCTTTTCACTATTTTACAGCGAAATAGAATAGAACACTCTTGCTACGAATACCTCGAAAATTTACTAGGTGACCGTATCTGCTGACGTTATCATCGGCAAGGATGTATTCGGATTAAGCGTTGGTCATCATCCCAACAGATTTGGCGTACCAGCAATATTTATTCATGGTCTTTACGTCACAGCATTCGTTACCCTTCGCGTTTCTGAAATGATAAGGTAGAGTTGAGTTAAGGGGAAAAGTAAAGAGGCTTTGGGGCTATTTTATGGTTTCATTTAGCCCACCAAGTGGGTCTTCGGTCCGACTTGGCTGTGCATATAACTTTGTACTTTGCATTGGAACTTAGCGGTTAACTCAGTGTCAGCCAAATATCTAAGATCACTTAACCTGAAGCTTACGGACGAACCATTTGGGCAATTCGATGTACAAAGCGCACTCAGTTGTGCCGATTGTGCATTTCATGACTATCTCATGGTGAAGGTACGCTAAATAGTACAAAGGAAAGGCCCTGATAAAAATTCATCTCATTACGACTGGGTGTGTTTTTTTTGTTTCCCCATATTGGTTAGTATATATTGCGAAAATAAGCTATCTATTATCATTGCATCGTGGATATTAGTATTGAAAAATCTAAGTATGCTGCCCTTTATGGAATAAATAGCACATGGAATACAGTCCATTAAGTAGCCAACAATGTGCTTAACTGAAAAAACCCAGAACTATCGCGTGTGCCGAAGGTATGCTTATTAGATGTTGTTCGATCGAGTAGTCAACAAGATATAACTGTACTTTGATAGTCTGACACGAATATTTATCTTTTGCATCGTTAGGTTTTTTCTTATGTGTTGCTAAAAACAGCAAGGGCCTAATTGGCCCAAGTGATGCTTCGAATTTGAAGAGCTATTGAAAAATATGAATATGTTCCATTCTGAAAGTTTCAGAGTTAATATTAGATTTACGCTGAGGTAACAATAACAATTCAAGAACAGAACGATAATGGTTCGAACGTACCGTATAACATGCAATAGCATCGATCGTACTGTATCTATCCTTGGGCATCGCCTTATAGGATGCCTATCATACAAGAGTAAAATAATCGAATTAAGGCAGTGAGACAAAATCATGCCGAACATATGATAAGATAACCAAAAACAAGTTAATAGAATAAAGCACAGGATGAACGAATGGCTCGGTCAATCCAAGGGCTTAACTAAGGTAGGCTGACGGGTGGAGTGCGACGAGAAGAGCAAGGCGATGCAGCAGGGCGATAGAACGACTCGCGTTCAGATTTCGATCGAGAAGGTCTGAGCTTGCCTTTGGTTAGATCAGGTAAGATAACATAATAGCTTCAGTGATTATTACATTGTTCAAATTAAGACTTACTTACTTATTTAGACAGAAGACTACTTCTTCTTCTAACTTAGGTGTTTATAGATCGAAGTGAATAGATGTTGTACACGGGTGATGCGTACACCTAGATGACTGAAAAGCTTCAAGAGAGTTTGGGAGACGCTGAGCGATTTTTGCTTCTATTTCGTAAATTACTTGGCTAAAAGCTAATATGCTTCTAGGTCTTCGGCACAGTGTCTCTGCGCTATTCCTCTCTAAGAAGATTTCTTATAGAACTGGAATTATCGACCACTGTAAGAGATTCTGATAAATGAAAATACGTCCAAAAGCGCAAATCGTAGATCCGCGCAACGTTTCCGATATAGATAACCATCGGCACTCTAGCTCCTGAAAAAAGAAATAAGGATGAACTGATTCATCCAAGCAGACGTCCTGCTAAACGATCATTTAGCTCCTACAATTTCCTTACAGTGTTATAATTATGATAGGAGGATATGCGACGAATGCAGATGCAGGATGTATTGTCTGATCCCAATGCCTATTTTTCATTCATTGTATAAGGAAGTAAAGCTATTATAGCTGACGGCATGTTTTAATAGACACATATGCTGGTGAGCTACAGAAGCTTCGCTTGAGAATCGTAATGATTCTGTATGCGAGCTACAGTGTCTTTATGTTAATTTTTGAATTCCGCAAGTACATATTGTAAGCGATCGAACCAACCGTTCAAATCAGTCGAAATAATTAGATAGAAACGGTTGGGCCGAACGCTTCTGAAGACTCTTTCAAGCGTAGCTTGAAGCTGTTGAGGGAAGACTCGGTTTAAAGGTACGTCCTCCTTAGCGGTAGCTGCCTTGACGGTAACGAGTGTCTCGATTAGCTGCTCACGATAATCTTGAATAGTGTTCTGCAATGCAATATATATATTGAAATAGATGAAAACCATAGCGCCGTAATATGGGTGTGTGAGATTAATCGTTTTGTCCGTCCTACATACAGGTTTAAGGTCTGATGTTGCCTAGAACGAGATTTCTCTAACAAAGGAAAATGCGTACCTTTAGAAAAAAAATACGGGCATAATTACTCAGTTGAAGCAACATAAATATAATCGATTATGCACGGCTGCGGACACAAGCACAAGAACAAAAAATGGCGCCCCTCAGCCCTACGCCCAGATCATATCACTTTTGCTTATACTGCTGTGTTTCTTCGTTGCTTCTAGAACTATTACTTAGAGTATCTTTAAAATTTCGAATACATTTTTAGCAGTTCTTCATTCATCTAACGCCGCCGTGTCTATGGACCTAGCATATAGTTTCGTTCTACATGTTTCGGAAGTTTTCCTATATCTTCCGGTAAATGGACGTTTTAAAAAACCTCGTCATTAATGCGCTAACACCATGTTAGATTGCTACTTGAGAACGCACTCCAAATCGCCGTAGATCAAGATGCTGTTACATGATTTAAGACAGCTTGTTAAGCCGCAGGACCGAAAGGGCAGCAGCTGGCTGTTGTAAAAGGGCGCAGGCTATCAATATTATCCGTGAGTCTACTTCTCTTTTCCTCTTCGCTCAGGATCAGCGTCTTTTTTGACTGTACTAAGCATGGCACTATGTGTGAGGAAGGTGGTGGGCTAGCGGTGAGCTGATAAAAAGTACGATGCGTAACCATAAACGCCGAAGACTGATTAAGTTCTAACACATACATGAACTTCCATATATTCTACCCTCTCTAGACTCCCTAGACTCTTCCCTTAAATACACTTTGTTGCTACCTATCAAACTTATTTAATAAGTAATTTATTGCTCGAGTATTAGCAATATAATTTAATATAGTATAAAACGTTTAAATTGATTTCTGTCTTTTTAGGTGTTTTTCATCGGCTCTAGATGCTACTAGAAGCAAAGTCTTATGACGCTTCTCTGTATATTGATCGTAGCGTTAATAATATATGTGCAATGGACGCTCAGCCTGCCGCATAGCCATCCATCTAATATTGACTTCTTTTATCCCTTTTTGGCTGCAGTTACATATTTCTGTTGCGAGTCCTCTAAGTCGACCCGTCCTTTTGAATCTGTTCTGCACGAACAGGGGGCCATTTTTCCTAGTGCAACGGCTCTTGTAGACTGCGACAAGCGGCACCGTGGGGCTCAGCACCCTCAGGCGTAACCTAGGTAAAGTCTGTGTGATGTGTGCGACGAGCAAAGGGTTTCCTAGATACCCCCAAAAGGGAGAGGGGGTCTCGGAGGAGAGGTCGCGCTGAGGGTCCATGGAGATCTCTCGAACTGCGCGTCGAGCTGTTGTCAAGCGAGGGCTGATATTCACATGGTTCAAACTAACGCCAGTGATTGCGGTTTCGGTCTAAGCCATAGAGCGGTGCTGGATCAGTGTAGTTGATTTCCATACTTCTTATCCTTTAGCCGGGTTTGCAATTGCCCTGTCGAAAGCAATTGATGTTTAAAGCGTTATTTGAGTAAATTAGGGTGATAGGTTACATTTGTGTTTCTTTGCCTGTGGGTCAACTGTTCACGTTCTCGGTGTATGAAACACTGTAGTAGCACACAAAGCTATCTTTTGTGGTAAAAGTTACGAATACGGAATTGTATGTAATTTACATATATCACGAAGATTTGTGGGTCTTGCTTAGTGATTGCAGTGCTTGCTTTGGCCTTAGCTAGAAGCAAATAGATATAGTTACAGCTGACAATTCGAAGAGAAAGTTTTGTGCAGTAATTTGGAAGAAATAAAAATCGAACTTTGAGTAGCAGATGACACACGGGTAATTTATATGTGCATAATATTGTTTTTAAATAAAAAACAATTTGGTGGTGCTACAATTATTAGTGGGTGGATACGCGTAACGGTGCTACTTCGCGTAACTGGACAAGAAGCGCTAAGCTAACTAAGGTAATTTATCGATTTTTGTTAAGTTTTTGTTTCATGCTAACATTCGTATTGCAGCGGAGAGTGGTAGGTATTTTTTTGTTTTCATAAAAATAATGCTGAAGTGTAAAAAACACGATTACGTCCATGCTTTTTTTCAGGCTTTATTTTTTGGATAGCTGCCATAGCACATGGGTTTGGTTGGTCTAATTTTCTCTTAGTGGCTTAACCTAATGTACGGCAATATTTCAAGTTAAAGATTCATGCTGAGGGATGTTTCTTCCGCGTTTAATTAACCTATTAAGTATATTGCTGTAAAACACGCGGGCGATTTCAAATGTAAACGATTACGGGAACACTCAAGAAATTTGGGTTAAGCGAGTGTTCCCGTTACGAGGGTTACGTTACAATTAGACGTTCATTATGGATAGGCAACTAAGTAGTTTGTCTTTTTAGCTTGAACATTGACAAAAATGTTAGAATAGTGTTGAGTGTAAAATCTTTAGATCGACTGACTAAAGGTGCAAGAAGTAGGCAACAAATCAGATTCCAGAACAATTGAAAATGCTAGTGGAAGACGGGTTCTCTAATGCAACGATCGATATGAGCTTGCGATGTTGAGTAGCTGAGTCAGTTTTGTTCCCACACATTAAGATATTTCAATACGAAACGATTCCATAAACTTATGCATCGGAACGCGATTCTTGAAGTTTATATGTCTCTCATCTATGAATTGAAAGTTTGTACATATATATGATGCAAGGATTTCATGGCGATTACCACTCCACCTGCATAAAGCAAAGAGTAGCCTACCTATGAGCGCTAAGGCTTATTGGTCCTTTTTTCCAGAGTATCCGTACTATGGGGACATATTGGACGCCAGCTAACATCGTTCGGTTATTTTTCCAGTCTAACTTAGACCTTGTCTGAATTTGCTCGGTTTAAACCCGGGCTCCGGATGCGAACTCGCGACAATTATTCTGTCACTGTGTTACACTATTTACGTTATGTTGCTATATCCATCGTAGATGTTTTGCGGAACATCTTAACTCCTACTATGACCCAGCAAAGGAAAATACAATGTTTGACTTTATAGAAAAAATATATTTTATTGAAGACTACATTGTATATCTATAATGTAGAGCTCAAAAAACTACTCATTTATACGTTATATAAATTATTATGATTATGGAGAAAACCATTTATGAAGGCCACTTTTTCCCAATTTGCATAGGGTGAATGTAAAAGTTTCCATATGTTTTATAAAAGAATAAAACCTCCTTAGAACATTAACCAACAACATTGTTTTGGAGAGCCGTATTATATATAAGCATTTAATTAAAAAATTATTAACTCATTTATTCCAAATTGATACATATCTATTTAATCGTCCGATTCAAGTTGTCCCTTCAAAGTGACCCCCATCGGACGTAACACATTTTTGCCAACGTTTTTTCAGTTCCTCAAAAAAATATTTTTCAATAATCAGGTTATCGGGATAGCCCTCATTTCGATCAGCAATTTTTATTTCACTTTTCCTATCGTATTAAAACGCTTTTCTATGAGGTTTTTTTAGTTTCGAGAATAGGAAAAAATCGCAAGGAGCTAGATCTGGCCAATACGTTTATAGAAGTTACACAAACATCAAATTTTGTTTCAGAAATTGCTGTCCGAATAGTGAACAGTAAGCTAGTGCGTTGCTGAGATACAGGACCCAGAACTTGTCGTTCCGAAAATCTGGTCTTTTGCGTTGGACAGACTCGTGAACCCTTCTTAAAATTTTCTGATGGCATATCTTGACGACCCGTGAGTCCAACAGCGTGAACTCGTAATGAATCATTTACCGACGGTCGAAGAAAACTGTGAGGAAGTCTTTAGTATTGAACCTCAATCGCATGACGTTCTTTGATCGGAGTTAATTTTGAACCAATACTTGAACAATTGTGCCTTTTTTTCGGTCGTAGCCGTTCGTCCACGTGTGATCATTCGTAATAACGTAACCAAGCAAGTTTGACACTTTTAGAAGTGCCATAAAGTTTCCCTGAAACAGTTCTCCATGGGTGTTTATCTGTTAAACGTACAATTGTTTCAGGACAAACCGCGCCATGAACCTTCTGCCGCCTACACGGTCTGAGATGAACCACCTAAGATTTATACTTCCTTCGCTCGCACTCTTTACAGAGATTTGGCTGTTCCTTCCTTTACGCGCTCTTGTCTGTATCACAGGCGTTTCAGGACCAAAGACGTTTTGCCCTCAAAGAACTCTTACCTGTGTCGAAAACCTTCTTTCACTTTAGGTTTACTCAATATCTTGCTTCCTTACGTATTATGCAAGATACGGAGAGTATTTGTACGACTGATTTTATTTTGTACACAAAATCTAGTGCAGACTTATTGTCCTATAAAGCGAAAGTCGCAGAACGTCCTATATCCTACTGGAAAATTCTAGACTGCATCAGACAATTATAAAATTCTGTACGTGTCTTTTCACTAAAACAAATATGGATCAAAAGCGATCATCCACACTAATTCATTTTTCAGCAAAAGGTATATATATATATATATATATGCCAGGGATTTCCGTTTTCCACCTTAGAAAAAAACAACATTCTACGCGAATTCTATTAAAAAATAATTTGTATTCACCATCACTTCCCATAACCTTCTCAATTAAACTGTTATTACTTTTCTTTTTTCCCCATTTTCACCTCTGGTGTTAAAGATGTCGTCCAGCCAGATCCTGCGGTTCTGTTTACTGTCTATTACTAATTTAGTCTGCCGATTATCGAAAAAGGTGGACTCAAGAAAATGGTGGGTTCAAAAGAGCTTCCCATTCAGACTCTTCCTAGCAAATTTCATAATCTTCGCTATCTGTGGCCTGATATTGTTTCAGAGTAGTTTTAGCTTGATCATCTTAGTCTTCTGTTTGACGCCCTCGGTTCCTTAACGAGACTGGGCCATATAAGATCCTTATTGACTATCTTTTCAATCTTTCTTTAATAGGTATTTAGTTGGACCAAACAAAAATCGTGCTTTCTAAGACATTGTGTTCACTTATTAAATTATTCGGTTAAATTCGAGGCGTAGGTGTATCTGTTTAAACTACTCGTTGCTTTCTTTGCTTCCATCTACATAGAGACACCATTTCTCGTCACCCGTAACAATTTTATATAGAAATTCGTAATTGTGAGTACACCTCGTTCAGCGCTGTGTGAGATGTTGAGGGTTGGTAAAAAACCGTATTCTCTTATGCCTTTCACGCATTCTATGGCTCACCAACACTTCTAATTCTTGATTAAATATCTATACATTAAAGATGCCGCAACATGGTCCGGTATTGTAACTTGTATTTTCAGCCAACTATGAGGTGTCTATAATCCGAGACCCTCACTACGGATTTCGAACGGTGGGTCATACCCTGTAAATGTAAAATTTCAGCTCTGAGCTTAGTTACAACTGACAAGACTGCTCTTCCGAGCAGTCTTGTCAGTTGTACAGGCCTTGATGTTCGCGGCACAGGTATCCTAGAAGGCCTTGACAGCTTTTAATCTCGATGGAACCTAAGGTGGAATAGGCACACCCCTTTCCTTAGAATCTCTGTATTTGGAGCCCGATATAAGCCCATAATAAATAATTTCCATAACCACCCGACACAGACAAGTTAAGTGTAGGAAATCTACTTTTTTCGGACTCAAGATAACATATTGCAACCCGAACAAGGCAATGACAACCGTTGCAGCCTAAGAAGAATAACCGTTGGAGCTTGTTTGGACGAACTGGCAGTTCATATTCTTCTCTCTAAAACGGCTGTTAATTTCTGTACCAAAGATCTAGATGTCCCAAAATTGGCTTTTTAATTTTTAAATTAAGTCTAAGTTCTTCTGAGGATCTATCAATTTAGCTCTCGAAAATCTCTCTCAAGTTTTTTAGAAACCTCGCGAAAGTTGTCACTAACGCAAACCATCCATTTCTGGTAAAGAAAAAAAGTTTTTATTGTGGTGGGGTTTCGCCTAGCATGGACAAATTGAGTAATAGGTCATTTATGCCTAAATCCTTAAAACGACGTAATTAACGACGTTCGCTATGACTGGTTTGTTGTTTTTAAAAAAGATCAGGCTTTCGTCTGGTTCTAGTAGTAGTGTACGAACGCATCCAACCTACGACGATTTGCCTGCCAAAATTTTCTCCAATCTATGAGATTTTGTGAGTAGCTGCAATGACTTCCAATGGAGTCCCTACTATAAAACTGATACGGTAGTGGGCTTATATATATTTGAATGAAATTTATCTCAATTGCATTCACCTATATTGTGTAGTGGGAGGCAAACTATTAACTAATTTATGGTATTGCAAGAAAAAGTGCAAACAAAAACATTATTTGAGCTTATCTATGATGAAGTTCACGGACATAAAAATATATTGGTTCAATTTGGACCACCCTTAGTACGGTTATCGGTTCTCCGCCGCCAAGTGGGTAGCGAAGTGTGATAGATTACAAAATGTTTGTAACCTATTAAATATGCTAAGGTTTGCCTTAAAGTGCCACTTAAATATAGGCTCACAAAATAGGCTGGTTTAATCTGTTCCGTACTCGATACGCGATATGAACCTGCGTCCCTTCAATGGCGTTAACGTGTACTCTTATAGAAGGTCAGTAATCTTCGGAAGAAAAATTTAAGGGGAACAAGATGTTAATAAAAATGGTTATAAACTCTGGGATTTTTAATTACAAAGCGTCTAGAAATGGGACCATCGATAATTTTGCCTTTTCTATTGCCATCATCATCTGAACGTAAAGGTACCGTACACGAAAGACAACTGTCTAGATGGCTTTGTAATTGCGTGGCTTTATTAGCAAAAGGCCTTATATCGTTAGCGATACGTAAAGAAACTCGCGGCGATTAAAGGGCCTATGTAATATTGGCAACTGATGAATAAATTATGTAATTAAGAAGATATAATTGGAACTAAATCTCATCTCAAATCAGGCTATTTAATATGACTCGGAATTATTAATTTGTTCA